CACACACACACACACACACACACACACACACACACACACACACACACGCAGCCATCGTACCGTGACAGGGTGGGTTCTGTGAGGGAGCCTGCCCTCAATCTGAATTGGTCCAGCTCTGATCTCAGTTTGTCGATCTCCTCTGCCAGATGTGTCTGGATGAAACAATTTGACAAGATGTCATTACGGGACCGTGCATCGTACAGTGGTCATATTGGTGCACGTCAACACTGTGGAGCTGAGAGCCATCGGGGCTGATTATCATCATATTGCTGTTTACTATCTAACATCGTGACGCTTTCCCGTGCTTTCCACACTGCTTGTTAAATTCATCCCACTATCATTCCCCATGCGGGTAGTTTATGGATTATTCAGCTGCAGAGTTTTATAAAAAATGAAAATATTGCCCAAAACTAACCTCATTATTTTTCTATTAAAATGCACGTATTAAAGCGACCTCATGTAAAATGTAGGAGGCTAAAGAAACAGACGTGGTCATCATTTACTGATCTCTGCAACCTACTTTTTCATGGATTGAATCTTCGTACTGTTTTCTGTAACCTTCAGAGTCTTGGATTAATAAATTCTGCAAAGAGAGGAGAAAAAAAAAAAGTCAGAGGTGAGAAAATCCACCTCCTCCTGACATTCATTGGACAGAAGTGATGTCGACAGCCAGCTTTTACCTTCTCCTCTAGAGCCGCCATCCTCTCCTTCAGGTGGAGCTGAAGACGCTCGTTGGACTCCGTGAGGAGCCTGTCCACCGTGTCCGAGAGTCGCTTGTTGTGCTCCTCGTTCATCTTTTCTCTCTGTCGTGCCTGGAGGGATTGAAGTACACAATTGAAGAGTTAAAATTCAAAGTTATTTCTACAGACTTTAGAAAATGTGGCCATAAGCCTTTCAAAAATATTTGCAGAAATAACTACTGGTCAATATTCTTGTGATCCTAACTTGCTGCTTTAATGGGACGGTACTAAGGAAGCAAGGAATGTCTCGTCTTGGGGTGGATTTCGCAATTACATGTGTCGTTTAAGCGCTGTTGAAGCATAAAGCTGGTAATTTCAGCAAGTTTTGTACCTGGTGAAATCCCTCAATTCCAACAAGATGTTCTCGACTGCATCTCGATGTGAACAACAATGAATGATGATATCTAACTTTACCAATTCAAGGTTCAAATCAGGTTAATATCCTGCTAGACGTGCATATCTAGCAGGAAAAACCTCATTTCATACACTTCTCTCTCCCAAACTGGGTATCTCCTCGAAGATGCTAATGCCATCTATAATAAGTCGTACATCGTTGCATCATTTTTGAGCATCTTACAAATCATTCTATCACCGTAGTGTGTGAAACATTGATTTGGTCCAGTGTCAGTGCTGATAAATCAGACATTGAGTCATCGGTCGCCTCAAGCTGCCATGCTCTTGCAGGAGTGGCCGCCTGGTTAGCGTTGCCTGGCACGACGCCTCTGCGGTGACTCACCCGTAGCAGCTCCTGGTTCTTCTCCTCCAGCTGGCATTCCAAGTGCCTCATTCGCTCCTCAATGCTCCCGTGACGCTCCTCCGCCTACAGATGGATCACAGCATAGACAGGACAAAAAGAAGGGAGAGCGATGATCTGCGTGTTTTGACAGCCAAACAAAGAAAAAGCAGTGGCGACAACACAAGCCAAAGCCTCTACCCCAAAATCAAAGATGGGATGTCTATTGCTTTAAAGCACAACAGGAGAGAGAGCGGGTTGAAACAGAACAGAAGAGTGACAAGGAGAGGGATGGAGAACGAGGCCACCAAAGGACAGAATGAAAGAGGAAGAGAGCTCCTCCAGCACTGCCAATTATGAGCCCCAGCCAGAAGTGCCATGCAGCTGTCCCATGGTGGCAGAACAGCCAGAGCAGAATCCCAGTAAACACGCTCGCCACAAAACACTAATAAGATAAATGAATGAAATCTGCTCTCTACAGGAACTGGCAGTAGCTGTGATGGCCCGTGGGACTACCTTCCTAAGAATGGAGTTCATGTCTTGGAGTTTAGCTTCCATAACAAAGTGATAATCATCGGGGGAGGAAGAGGAGCTGGAGTCAGACTACGTGGCCGAGTGAGAGAGGAGAGGGACATGTTGAAACGTCATGACACGACACCACGTGCACACTTACACACAGGTATAGAAACAAATCTAGAGACGAGGGCATCTGTGGGAATGTGTCAACAGTATGTGTGTTAATGCGTGTGTGTGTGTGCGTTCCTACCTTGGTGAGGGCTGCTATCCTCTGGGCCAGTTCAGCCTCTACCTCCGGCAGCGTCTCCGCTTTCCTCATGGTCTGCTGGAGCTTCTGCTCTGCAAGCTCCAGCCTCTCCTGTAGCTGCCTGTTCTTCTCCTCCATCTGTGCACATATACACACACATCAAGGACATTAGCAGGTCGTCGTGCAGAAGATTTAGGAAATAGCGCATTCTGTGAGTTCTCCAATAAAATGTAGTTAAAGTTTCCATGAGGAACTCCTATATTTAAGTAAATGAGACCATCAGAGAGAGGATTGGCTCTTTCTATATGGTTATTCTTAATGCTTGTGAGGTGAGAGCTCCGTGCTCGGCAGCAGCGTCTCCTCGCTTTGCCTTGCCCAGCTGGGAGCCAACACCGACGCCACGCTGCTGGAGCCGTCCCAGCCCGTATTTTTTGACCCGCTAGAGGGAAGGGAGGCACGGAAGAACCAGAACCAGGACTGAGCGGGACAGTCTGTCAGACCCTGCTGCAGTAAAAGGAGAGGTTTTCTAAAAGGGACTCTGGTGCTGGGAAACACTACGGCTTCTGTCCACATGGACCGCCAAAAGACGTGCAGAGGACGTACATTTGGGCAGTTCACAGGATTTGTTTTCTTCCCTGTTCTGGCATACAATAATAATAACATAAAACTGCCTGTGAATGTGAATCATTTTGATGTCAGCAGAGCTTCATCGCCTGGTAGAAAATAGAATCACAGATATCTTTAATAGGAGGCCCGGCCACTGAAGGCTTTGGCAGCTTGCCTCAAATCTTCTTCACAATAGCACCGTAACAGAGCCAGAGTAGCAGCAGCTCTGCACTCGCCAACAGTGACAGTGGCAACTTTTACACAGCAGATACCGGTAATTGCCCTGATTAGGCCTTCAGATGCATTATAAAGATGCAAATCAAACCCAGCAGTGAGGATGTCACCATGTGACTTGTATTTCCCCGTGGCATGTTAAGGCTTCTCTCCTTGCCTTCCTCGGGGGTTCGGATCAGTTTTAAGACTCTTTTTTTTTCGGGGGCTGTCTTGGCAGCCTTTGCCATCAGCGACAGATGCTCTGCTCCCCAAAGCATCGGGTCTGGCAGCTCAATAAGCAATAATTAGACTGGAGAGGGCCAGTGGGTGCCAGTGGGTGTCATCTCAGACACCAGTGGGTGTCATCAGTGGGTGTCTGAGATGACACTGGGGAAGCATGACAGTGTGTTTTTGTTTGCAACACCCTCCCTAGATGCCCTTCCATCCATCCATCTTCCTTTTCTTTTTGCAGTTTTGCTCGCAATTTTTTCCCTTCATCCCTTCTGTCGCGATGGCCAAGCCTACATCCCCTGAACAACTCATTCTTCAAACATCAGCGGCCAGATCCCGGGGTTCAACTTCTGGCACAACAACAAGTAAACTCATTACACTGCCAGCGAGGAAGTGTGTTTGTGTGTGGCAGCGGGAGCTTAAACCCAAAGGCTTTAGAGGTTATTTCTGTATGTTCCGAGGGCGCTTCCGGATGCATCAATTTTGCAGAGTGGTCTCTTAGTCGACTTGGTGCTCATGGTTGGTTGTGTACAAACATAAAGGGGTAAACTCGACTCTGAATGACCAACAACAGCACTTAATGTGTAAGGAATACGTTTTCTTGCAGAGAGTTCGATGTGCAGATTGGTTTTAATGTCTGTGCTGTAAATATGCAGCCAGAGCCAGCAGCCAGTTAGCTTAGCTTAAATTGCTTGGTGTCTGAGCAACTTTCTTGACAGCAAAGCCAAAGGATGCTTGTGTGTCTCTTGGTGTCAGTGTGCGCTCAGGATTACTTCTGCTCATATTAGTGAGACGTTCCGTCTATCCTTCCAGAGATCAGCCTGTGCACAGGAAAATGTCACTCAATCATGTATGGCCGGGCAATTTATCTAATTGACTGCAAAGAATAATCAAAAGGAGAGTAAATTGATATCATTGCTTTGTCAGATTGTACAGCATTACATAAGTTATGAAGATGACTTTCAGCCGTGTGCATCTGCTCAAAGTAAACATTTAAGTAAAACCATCAAATTCCCTTCCCCGGTGGTAATTTCCTCTGACCTTATTTGGCACAATGTCAAGAGGTTTACTCATTGCCGAAACCTCTGTGGATCAGCTCTAAGGGCTTTGTTATCTAACGGGAAGCATCTATCGAACACAACCAGCTGCACATCCACGTTCAATTATTTTCTGAATCCAAAAAATGTCTGGCATTTTTCAGCTCTGAATGGTCCATTTCAGCAGCCACCTGGACCCTCAATGTGACAAAAATGATCAGTTTTGAAGCTAAAACTGAAACACGCAGTATCTTGATAATCTCTCGGGGTTGACACACAATCAATCCTTGTGCTATACAGACCTGTCTGAGGAACGCCTCCTTGTTGGCCAACTCGTTCTCCAGTTTGTCGTTGATGTCGTGCACCGAGGTGGACTCTCGTTGGGCGCTTAGGTAGCGCTTTTCCAAAGTTACGATCCGCTCCTCCATGTCCTCTTTCTGACACATGGCCTGCAAGCAGACCCACATAGTCAGAGCAATCAGAGCATAGGAGAAAATAAAGATGAGAGCATTCATAAACCATTTGGGCAATTTCTCCTCCACTGGTGAGTATTTTGACGAGAGGGCAGAAAGTTTCTTTGGTCACCGACAGCTCCAACTCTGGTTTGTAAACTCAGAGGAGGCTTAATTAAAAAAGGCTCCATAATTTCATTACAGCGCGTTATCATTACAAATACTTCTGTAATGACTACAAAAGCACAACATGTCCAGAAGCCCTCACAAGTTTACAATAAAGCTCATGTTATAAGATTAGCTGCATTTATGACAGGACCAGGGTATCATCACCAGACACAAGTCAAATACAAAAGCTTCATAAAGTACAATCACACAGCTGTGATCTTGTATCTCACACTGCTGCTGCCCCCCCCACCCCACCCCTCATGACGGCAACATTATCTCTGAGAGCTCATTTCCTGTATGGGGAATTGCTGCAGATACAAACTCATGCAAGCACATGTGGTTTCAAAACCACACAAAAAGTGGTGTTCCCTGGGAGAGCTGAGTAATCTGCTGCCCTCAGAGGAGGCAGAGCAGCGTAATAACGAAGGGTCGGTCCGATAAATCCATGTTTGCTCCAGGCCCTAATCACTGCCTCTGCCTGCATCGTTAGCAATCAATAGCAATATTAGCCAAGAGGGGGGGGGGGGGGGTTATCTTATATTTATATCCATTCCACTTCACTGGCATCCACCTCAACAGACGTATACCGAATTGGCTTATGATTGGGCTCCTTGATTGCCAAAAAATGACACAAAACAGTCTCATTTCTCCAGGAAAGTGGCGTTTAACTGGCTGGTCTGAAGCTTTACACGTCGGCACTTTAGCTTGAAATTGTGTTTAAGAACCAAACAGAGGCAGATGCAGAAACAGCTGCTTGTTTTTCTTGGATTTTTTTATTTGACATCTTAAGTGTTAGTGTGTGTCCTTGAGAAGTGTTTATGTAGCCTACTGGGGTCTGTCTGTTTGTCTGTTATATGTGTAGGATTCACTTGCTTTGCGTGTAATTGTTGTAAAGATATGTTGATACATTATGATCCTTGCAAAAAATAAGTCAGTGAATGAGCAGCAATAATAAAGTATTTTGGTATATGACCCTAAAAGTCCTTATAAAATGCTTTATAATGTGTTTTGATTATTATCATAAAGCATTATTAATATTTATGAGTGTTTGAAACTACTTATATAAGTATGTTTCGCTCTTTGATGTCTCTCATTCAACTGTTATTCCCTTTGCAAATGTGTGTGCGTGCGTGCTTCTCCCTGTCCCTAATATGTGTGTGCGTGCTGTAACCTCTTTGATGTCCCTCTGGTACTTGATGTTCATCTCCTCTGACTTGATGAGGTCCTTCCGGGCCGTCTCCAGCTCCTGCTCAACCTCGGAGACCCGGGAGGAGAGGGAGGACATGCGCTCCTTCATCTGGGCCAGCTCGTAGTTCTGCTTCTCCAGCAGGTCCTGCAGCTCCACCACCTGGCTCGCGTCATGGGCCGACTCCAGAGAGCCGTTGGACAGACGCTGGGGGGGGGGGGGAGAAAAACGGGACAGCAACTTTAGCTTCAGTTTGACAGCAAAATGATTCCATTGTCCCTCATGGAGTTTACTGGGGGATCTGGATTTGAACATAATGTGTACATCTTGGCTATGCTATCGTCTTTGTTGTGTGTCTTGTAGGAACCATTTGGTTTCGGACACATACAGTGCATGAATAAATCAAATCAACAATCTAGCCGCTTTAAACACACATTATTGTACAGATTTCGCCTTTAGAAAATGTGTTTTAACCACATGGGGTGTGAGAAAAAAAACGTAATTGCAAACATCAAATGCTAAAAACTGGAATTTGACTTCAGAATGCAGGACAATAGAAACATTAGTATTTAAAATGCAACAGGTGACAAAACTCATTTGTGATTTGCCCCGGCTTCCTGGGCTGTATTGAAGTGGGTCTCGAGAAATCAGTGTCGCTGCCACTTCAGGTAGCATTTCTTCTTTGGAGAGTTACACACATTAGCACTCGAATAAATTCAAGTTCAGGAGCTCAAGGCTTTCGGCTCGTCCCCTGCTTTGATTTCGGATGGCGACAGAGAATGACTGAGAATCACTCCAGACTCCGCTGGAGAAAAAATTGCTTTGACACTTGCATCAGTAACATGATTAGGTTTCGCTGAGTTCTCACTCTGCGCAGCTCTGCGGGTCTCTGCATGAGGTAGATTAATGAGGGGGATGCCAGAGAGATCTAACTTAAGCAGGGCTTTGGAGCCAAACGATAACGCATCAGAAAACAACTTTATTATCGCCGCTAAATAACACGTCTCTGAATGCAGCTTTAACACAACACAGCATTCTCTTTATTCAAATGTAATTATTGTAAATCAGGTGGAAGTGGGGATTGAGGAAAAGTGATCTCTTTATTCTCCATCTCTGTCTCTCTCTCTCCGATGTATCGGGCCCAGCTGCCCGTCCTCGGCCATCCATCTGAGAGGACAAACCTAATTGGGCCTCTCCGCCTGCTGCCTGTGATCAATGATTCACCCGAGCAGCGAACAAGACCCACTAAATCACACCACTGATTTTAATACCGGCGCTCCCGCACTGGGCCGCTCTCATAAAAAGCACCAACTTTAAGGATTTAGCTCTACTTTATTGCAAAATGTCAGTCCTGCAGATGATACATTATGCAGCCGTGGCTCCTTTTATTGTGCTCAGACACCCGTTTTATAAGACTGAGAGAGTTTACATGTTCTCTCGATTTTTATTGGAGTTTAGACATAGTTGTGCGTCCACATGAGCAGCTACATTTTAAATGTTCATACTTCATTTGAGTACTACCATTTTATGCTATACCTCATACTTCTATTATATTTCAGCGGGATTTATTTTACTGCTTTATTTACTAGTTTTATAGTGACGTGTTTTTTATTCCACATAAAAGATATCACTACTCCCTTTTTCTTTATGTGATTTTGTGTTACCATCATTTACATAGAATGTTATGCAAATGTGATGCCTTGTTCACGCCATATCATTTACACTATATATACTCGCTATATACGCGTTTTTTCCTATTCTCAAATGAGTTTTATTTATCCATCTTTCCATCTCTACAAAGACTAATTTCTTGTTTTACAAAAGTAAAAGGTAGAGGACATCAGTAAATCTGTTCTCTGGGGTCGATGGGCAATGAAACTAAACCAGAACCGGCCCAGTGCTGGAATGAATAATGTAAAACGGTGACGCAGAAGGCCTCACCTGTCGGACTGCATTAGCTGGTTATCAGGCAGCTCCAGGTCTACGCTGCAGGTTTGAGAGCTTGATGGGTCAATATACACTTCAAGAGCTGCGCTTCCTTCCCTCCTTTCTCTCCCCCTCCCCCCTCCCCCCTCGCTGACCTCTCTCCACCTGTCACATTAACAACCAAAGGACACGTGAGAATCAACTGGAGAGGGTTGAGCTGCCAGGAAGACGTGTGCTTTGTGGGTTGTCATCCCCCCCCCCTCCCTTGATGGCAGCCGCTGCCACATCTGTCCGTCCCTGTGACTGCAGTGACACTAAATAACCAGCCCTCTCTCTCGCCGAAAGACACACATTAAAAGTTATTTTGCAAACATGCACACAAATCAAAGTACACACGTTCATTTTCACTCTTTTTTTATCTTCACAAAACAGGGCAGACTCATCAGCCTCCTCCCTCTGCACAACACACCCTTCGTCTTTTTGCTCCCCGCCTCCCTCCCCCAACTCCCCTTCCTCCAGCACACCGGTCGAGTAACAGCGTCTCCATTGATCTGCCCAGGTATCCTGTAAGATGCAGATGCCGCCGTCTGCATGCTAAAAGGATTTTGGAAAGTCTGCTTTGGGATTTGGAGTCAGTGGTTTTGGGCTCTGGTGTGTTTTGTAAATGTGGAAGCAGCTACACCTCTTTGTCTTTATTAAATGAATAATCTGAGGGAGATTTGTATTCAGCTATGCAGGTCCACGAGTGCTGCTGCATAATAGGAGAGGCTGAGGTCGCAGCAAGAGCTCTCATCTGAATGTGGGTCACCTTCAGAACACCAGCAGATCGAAGTGTGTGAGAGCTTAAAGACATCTTTAATAACGTTGTACTGACAATTAAAACACCAGCAGGAACTCGCCGTGCAGGAATTATTTCTGCAATAGCACCAACTGTGACTTCGACATTGAGGGCATTTGAAGATGATAAATGGCAGCCCAGATCTAGGCTTAAAAGAGAAATAATATCTGCATGTTTAATACATAAAACTTAGCTGCATCCAGGTCCATTGCAACAATTGAGGATACTGAGATCGTGGTGATCTTTTTAGGACAGATTCTGAATCTTAAGGAACCCATCTGAGCCCTCTCTTTAGGAACGGTTCACAGGGTTTTTCTGATATCAGCCCAATCGTTTGACCATCTCCTACATGTTGACATGCTACATGCTCGTTAGGTAAAGATGACAGTATCCACTATTGTAAGCAGGAGAAGGTTAAAACAAAAACCTGTGTGTCCATCGATGCTCACCTTGCCATGAAGCTTCTGTTGAGCTTCACTGCCGTCCAGTATGTCCTCCCCTCCGTCCCCGGAAGCCACTTTTCTCTGAATGTGAGCATTTTGTTCCCTTAAGGCCACGATCTGCAGGACGGCAACAAGCGCACAGATTAGAGCCGGTGATGTCGGAATACCTGCATATACAAACAGTTGATTTTGGAGGTTAAACTGAGATAAAAAAACAAACAGATGTGTAATATTGCATTTCCTTCAATGTGGCTTTGCACACAAGAAGAACATGTTGAAAACCTCAATGTGTGAACATGAAATTAGCCAATCAGCATGAAGACATTTCCCTCTTATGCAACACTAGTAAACTAGAGTATGTCCCTCTCCGTAGGAATTTATGGAGCATGACGTTAACCAACATAAAGCAGGAAGCACACGAGCGCTGATAAAATCACTGTAATCATCGTGTTCTGTGGACCGCGTGTCTCGTTTCACCACCTTAAGCAACTGTCCGAAGTCATAATCCTGTCAGAGGGGTGACCGACAACAACAATAATTAGGTTCTTCCTCGACAGACACCATGTGATTATCGCTCTGCTCACGATGGGGGAAGAGAAAGCTAGACCGTGTACTGCGCTCGGCTGCTGCTCGTCTCTCATAAACAACTTGAAGCTCCTGAGACTTCGTGCTGCTGCCTCTTGTTCACCCAGAACCTGAAACTTGAGGGAGGCAGATACATGTAGAACTTTGAAGCAGGCAAACCATCAATCGTGACCTATACCAAAACCTTCTTGTGAAACATCCTCCTCTTACTTCAGTGCCGCTTGTAAAAAGACTGCAGTTGTTTTGTAAATCACACAGCTATAGTGTGAGCCTCACAACCTTTGACCCCCTCTGGAAGCCCTTCTCCCAGTTTACCTGTCTGTCTGTCAGTGAACCCTGCCAGGACACTTATTCCACTCTTGTTCTCTGCACCAGCCATGAAACAACAAGAACCACAGACGACAGTGCAAGTGCCGTGCTGTTAGCGCGACGTGATTAAAGACGCATCACGCTGGTTCCACTCTATGACTATTCCAGCTTTGGAAATGCTTAAATCTCTCAATAACCTCTGAAATCGGCATGTTAATCATTCTTTTTTCTTTTGTTTGTTGGTGATTTCAATTTCCCAGCAGTCTGGAATGAGTGTTTGTTATTCGATGCATCACAATACAATCTATAGTGTGCACACAGTTTGCATCAGAATGAGTTGACGATACAGTTGCAGGAAGGTCATCTTTGTTCAGGACAAATAAATCAGGATGTGGGAAGTGAGAGAAAATTGCATTTTTCTCAGCAACAGATATTTGCTGTGAAATAAAAACAGCGAAGGACGCGTTCGGGGACAATCAATGACAAGAGTGTCGATAAAACAAGCAATGCTCTCGAGGGACTTTGACACGATCTGGTTTAAACTCAAAACCTGACCTGTCCTCAGCAACATCAAAGTGAGAGTCAGTTGATGTCAGGATCTGTTAAAAGTGAGGACAGAGGGCAGTGAAAGATGATTCCCCGCCTCAGACTTCACTGGCAACAGCTCGGCTTCTTCTTCGCTGTTGCACACCAACCGCAGAACGTTTCTGTTCATTATTTTTAACGAGGGCATAATTATGCCTCCGTATGTTTCTGTACCATTATTCTGAGATTGCCTGTAATTTATCCGGCCCAGAGTTCAAACACTAATACCACCACGGACAGAAAGACACAACAAATGCTGCAGATGCATCTCCAGCTCTGAAATTACAAAAAAAAGGAGAAGTTTGAAAGATGTAAAATGAACATGGCGCTTATTATTTTTCTTTTTGATGTTGATCTACCTCGCATCAAAGGCAAGACATCTGACGGAGGGAGAGAAGAGGGACAAGGAGTGCATCGTGATTTCCTTATCTCTCTTTAGCACTTGAGTGTTGGGCAGAGAGGACTGTCTGAGGTAATGTGGTGAGGAGTGAAGAGAGGGTTTGTGGAGAGGGGGTTCTTAAAGTATAAAAGATTGATTTTGTCAAGGTGAGAGCTGGGGTCGTGCACGGTTCTGCTGCAATGCACTTGAATTACGATCAATCACAAATGCATGTCACAGATGTACATACACAAGCCCTGAAAGCAAAGCAATAAATAACAGGGCCTTCATTTTGTGAGTTTAAATGTGCCTGTGATACCTCGGGACTTTTTTGCAAAGAATATGAGAGCTACCACGCGGGATTAGAAAATTAAAAAAGAACAAGTCTTCGATCTTACCTCGACTTGACTGGTCCCGAGGCAGACTTATGTTATTTAGCTGTGTTTCATTATTGAGTCTTAAAAGTGTTGTTTTCCGAAAAGAAGTGAAACAATTTATTCGATTTGTCTCAAGGGTCTTACATAAACACGACATTTCCAGCAAACAGTTTTGTTTATTTCACAGGAAAGACATCTGTCTCTGCTGCTTTGTCTGTGCTCTTCTCACTCGTTTGAAGTGGCTGGGAAACCGGTGAGGTCACGAACTTCTGGGAACCAATCAGGATGTAGCGGTGTTTGAATACAATGTACGACCGTTAAAGAGGTTGTTTGCTCATGGTGACAGGACACTGTCAGTTAAACTGTGTTGCTGAGCATTCAAAGTGCTTTTTCTGAACTTTTAGTTCGATTTTTTCTTATTTTCTTATGAATATTTATGTTATAAAGTAATATTTAATATAGAAAATCAAACCCCACAATAACTAAAAATTACTTTATGACATAAAGTTTGTGTTTGAAAAAAGGTAAAGGCATGAGGAAGGGGCCTTGTCTCTCTGGATAGTGACTCGTTGCTGATATATATATTATTATATTATTAAGATAATCATTTATTTAGACTTTGCTGTATATGTTCACTGTTGATTTTATTGGTGATTCTTGTTTTGTTTTCTTATCAAATGTGTGAAAGAAATGAGCTGTTTTTCATGTTATTATTATTTTAGCCATCTCTAATTAAGATGAAACTATAGGTGCAATGTAGCCGCTGAGCTAGCCCGGGCATTTTTTAAACATGTTTTCAAAATGTGTCACAACAATTTATTCTCAGATAGATTCCAACACAGTCTGTTCCATAACAGCAGATTACAATCACCAGCAGTAATCAGCGTGCGACCACTTAAACACCTGTGACTGCATGAGGTCAAAAAGCCGCTGATTTCATCTGGCGCGGCCATGTTGTCCGAACCCTCCCCCCCCCCCGAGGGGGAAACGGGACTCACACTAGACCTCCGTCACAAATCAATTACCGGTTCGGGCTGGCTGGCGGCTCCGTCCGCCTCCCTGGAGCCTCTGAAGCGGGGACATTTTCATTCTGCAAAGCAGCTCCGACTGCACTCTTCCACCGCCTCAAGGTCCAATCACTCATCTGTCCACCGCGCTGACAAGTGTGGTGTTAACCGCTTACAAGAAAGACCTACTATAACCTTGGCTGTGCGATGTGAGAACAATTCTTCAAAGTGTCTCACAAAAGACTTTACAGTTTAAGAAAGCTGACTTCATGCCAAAGCTGTAAAAGAACAATGAGCGACAGCTTTGGGAACCAGCGGCCTTGTCACATCATTTGATCAAGCAGCAATCTAATATTGGATTCCGACAACAAGCAGCTCGACCGTCTTTCCATCCAAACACACAGTTTATCAAACCTTCCTCTCTGTGTTTCCCTGTCGTCTCCTCACCCCGTCAGATGTGCTCTGACCAACTGCACACTCATTACACACACACACACACACACACACACACCTGCCTCTGCTTCCCACCTGTCGTCTCTATTTCGCCCTCCTCTCGCTGTCTGTCCTGGCTTCCACCCACTTCACACGCCTCCCAACCTTCCTCCCTTCTGCTCTTCACTCCCCTCTCCCTTCATCTTCTCCCCTCCTCCCCCTGACTTTTATTCTAGGCCTGGGTGCCAGACTGGCATGTCTGACAGGCTGGGAAGTGCCAGCCTGAGGGTTTTACTCAGCTGGAACACAACCATCAGCAATGCAAGAGCTGCTCTGGCACTTCAGCGGGCCTGAGCCCGGGAGGTTGAGAAGGAGTCAGGCCACAGTTGCAGAAGTGACCACTCTTCTGTCAGCGTTGTGCCTCAGCCACTCATGTGCACCGTGATATTTTGAGTTATTCCCCCGTACAGGCGAGGGCGAGTGAAGCCGGCAGAGGTGGTTGTTTTATGAGCCGATACATAATTCAGGACACATCACAGTATATATCAGATTTACATCCACATAAACAAGTAGCACATCATTCTGCACATTTCTTCTGTGAGTGGGGATATGGACTCATGTTTATACGTACAATGTGCTACATTTTTGTATTATGTGTTACATAATAGCTGTGGCAGCTCTTACCTCCTGATTGGCTGCTGTGAGCTCCTCCTCCAAGACGGACACCCTCTCCAGCGACACCCGTAGTCTCTCTCTTACCTAAAAGAAAAGAAAGAAATGAAAGTCATGAATCTGTAGATCTCCTCTCTTATTAACTCGCACTGAGCTGGACTCAAGAGCAAAAGGTCTGAAAGGTTGTTGCACTCCCTCTTTAAATTGCAGTCAAAGGTAATCAAGGGTTAACACAGCGGAGGCGATGCCCCAGTTGTACAGTGCAACGCGCTGTCCTCTTTTCCTCCCTTAGCCTCAGAAAAACACTTTGCTGTGGCTTCAAAGCAGCGTTTTGATGCTTTTAAAGCATCAGTTGCTGGGAGGAGATTCCCCTCCTACGACACTCTCTTCCTCTGAGCGTGCTCGTCTTCTTCTAGGGTTGTCCCGGCTGTGATGGAGCTTGTGCCCCGTGTGGTGACCGGTCGCTGCTGCCGCCCAATAGGATGTCAGATCTCAAGAGGAGGTTGATCCCGGATTAGAAGTTAGCCAGGGTCCGAGTCGGGATTCCCCACGAATCCCCCAAATCGGATTTCAATGTGTGTACTCGATACTTAATTATAGTTTTTATTACAAACATAAAGGACCACGATACAGCAGACACACTGATTCCTGATACTACTGTGTGTGTGCGCTGCTTATGGCTCTAATGGAGACTTACCTTCTCATCTAGAGCTTTATGGTGTTCGAACAAGGACTTGAGCGCTTTGAGGACCTCAACTTCACTGGAGACCCCCGAAGGAGACTGAGCCTGCCGCTTCACCACCGTCATGCGAAGTGACCGCTCGTGTCTGGACACCAGGCACTCCAGATGCTCCAGCAGTAGCTGGAGAGACACACGGGAGAAACCATCATCATCATTATCATTATTATTGGGAAATTAAATACTCCTCACAGCAGCATATGTTGTGGCTTTTCAGAGTAGAGGTATGAGAGATGCAAGTAACTGCAATCCTTCCAACAGAGCCCAGAATGGATTATGCTAATCTAGGCTGCTAGGTAGGAAGCATGTCAAGTCAACTGCCAGCAGACTTGCTTCACAAGGACAGACGGGATGAGTTGCAGAGCTGGAGGGCTGACTTCAGGAAAACTACACCACAACAACAACAACAACTAGGAGTAAACAACCAGGATGTGAACCGGGAGAGAGAACACCAGCTCGGCTGCAGAGATAAAACATCATTCATTACTGTTTGAGATCAGCGTACGGGATCGTCTTCTTTCATTTCCCCTTGTGAATCACTGGTGCCAGATCACGGAAACACTGGAGCAGTTTCGGTGTTGACGCAGATCCCAACACTTCATTGCCTCTCGGAAATTGTCCAAGGACATAATATTACATCCAAGATAAGGATCGATGACCTCGCTGTTCTTTCCTGGAGAGAAACTCACCGGCTAAACATCTCTTATTGAGGGCTGCCCAACAAGCTGCAGCTGGATTAAATGTACCATGTGTTCAACCACTTGGTAGAGCCTGCATTGTCTTCCTCAATGGCATTACACAGCGAGCATGATTATGATCTAATTATTCAAGAGAACTGGGAACAATTGAATTTAAGAAAACGGAGCATGCAGTGTACAGAGATGAAGATATTCTGTCTCCTCTTTGTTCCCACTGCCTCAACAAAAACCCAGAATGTGTCTTATTTGCAGACAAAACGTTCAACGAAAAACATTTTAGCAGGCGGGAGTGGTCAGAATCTGTGCAGGAGTGGGTGGTGCTGTAGGAGTGCGTGTATGCACAGACACAGTGCGTCTCGTCTCTTGTCCGTCTGATAAACTGTCCCCGAGAGTCTCATCAGCAGCCATCATGTCGACATACGTACTCCTGCACACTCAACAAAAGGCCCACTGTTGAATCAATCATGGAGTGAATTGAGTTCCTGCTGAGGTAGAGCCACAGCGTCCTCCTGTCTGTCTGTCTCATCTCGTCTGTGCATGACTCCAGTCTGTGAATTTACACGCACGTCATCCGAAACAACCAACATGTCTCTCCGCTGCCATCACAATGCTCGCCAGCCCCTCAGTCCACTCACTGCCTGCACATGCCTTCAAAGCTGTTGATTATGAACTGTGAAACCCTGCCAGCGACTGAACCGAGCTTGATTAAAAATGCTTGGTAATTGCCTATGGGAAGATTGGAGGTGATAATAAAGTGAGAGAGAGAGAAAATGACTTTTGTCAGTGTCCGTGTCTCCTGCGCCTCACCTCCCCCTCCTTTCTGTTTGTCTCAGCTGCTTGTTGCGCTAAAATCTTCTGCCTCCGCCCAGAGACAGATAGTGCACGACTGAAAAACTCACACTTAATCAGCAGTGGGGATGGAGTCTTATCTGCCAACAGCAGAGTGTGCTTACTGCTTTAAAAAGAAAATGTTTTTTTATTGAAGCTACAGGCCTTCAGCTCCGCAGAATCGAGCCGATACGCTAATGTCATTAGTTGTTGTCCCGGACACTGCAGGGCACTGGGTGCCATTTGGACCTTTACTGTTGAGCAGCCATCCGTGTCAAGTAAGTGCAAAAATGTTCAGGCGAAATGTGTGGCGCTAATGAGGTATGTCTGGGCATTGGAAACAGACAGCTCGCATGGTTGCTTCAGTGCTCCAGCAGCAGTAAAACCATACACACCAGATAGCTTCGGCTTACTCGGGACGCCGTCTATTGCAGTGTGCAGCAGGCTTTCTCCAGCTCACATCCAAATTCGGGGGAAAAGTTTGAGAAACTTGCAAATTCAAGCGGGTGAATATGGAAGAAACAAGCATCAGCATAAAGTTAATTTCTGACTAAAGGATTAGCTCTCTTTGGCCACCGAAATGCTTCAGAGAATCATCATAGTACATCAGTGGCAGATTAAACTACTTGGTGGCAGCATAATCAGGGGGAGTGAATGTTTTAAAGATGGCGTGTCGATGCTGCCCCTCACCCTGGTGTTGTTCCTCTCGGCTTTGAGCTCGGAGATCTCCTCCTCCTTCTCCAGCAGCTGCTCCCTGCAGGCGTTCAGCTCCTTGGTGAGCGCGGCAAACTCCTGAGCAACACAAGAGAGAAAGAGATCGCGGTCAGCTTCACACAACACCCTGCAACAGCCCTCCACGGCGCACGGTGCGGTGATGCAATGCAACATGAAGCGGCGGGGATATGTTGGATGGTAGCTGTCTTCTATTAAAGCCTTCAAACCAGACATACAGTAAAAACAAGTCAGATTTTATATCTATTGTCATTAAACTGCAACAAAATCAAGATTACAACCAGGGTCCAAAATGATGTACAGTTCCTTACTGACAGACAGGGATGTGGGTGGTTCCCTAATTCACATCCAAAGCCTATAACATATATTATGCCTTTTTCTTTTGTGTTAAGATGCTATCTTTGACCTTGTTTATCTCATAAAGATATTACATACAGCCATGCTTTTACAACAAAGGCTCAATCAAATGTACAATAAGCGGGAAGCGACTGCAGTGTAACAAACTGTGGCAAACAGGATCGTCCCTGTCCAGCGGTGCAGGCACGATGCCAGCTGTAGTGGATTTACTTCTGAGCGACAGGAGGACTGAGAGCGCCGGGCTTTGTCTCAACGCTGGTGGAGTCGTACTACCGAGTGGACGACGGCTGAGATGACAGACCGTGTGGCTGCTGAGTGTGATGGAGCTGCATCAGGACGGCAGATTGCACTTTTAGTCAAACACATATTTTTCACACGCAGAAATAATAAATGATCTCACATGTTGAGCTGAACTTCTATGGGCAGATTAGACTGAAGATTCCAGGAAAATTAGGGGGTAGGTCATTCATGAAATGTGCCACTACTACTACTACATTAGTAGTAGTAGTAGTAGTAGTAGTAGTAGTAGTAAAGGTGACGATGGAAATAATGATAATAATAAAGATAATGATACAGAAGATGAATAAGAAGAAATGGGGCTAAATAATCAAAAGAGGGAGAATAAGGTGGAAGAGAAGCAGGATAAGAAGGAAGAGAATAAGGAGGAAGAGGAGGTGGGGGAGTTACAGGGGGAGAAATAAGGAAGGGGGAGGAGGGAAAGGAGAAAAAGAAGAAATATGGAGAAGAGAAAAAGTTGGTGGGAAAGGAAGAGACGGGAAAGACCAGGGATGAGAAGACGGAAGAAGCGAAGAAGAAGATGAAAAAGCAAGAGGAGAAAAAATAGGAGGGAAAAGATGGGGCGAAAAAGAAGAAGGAAATAAGAAGAGGAGGAAGAAGAAGAAAATGAAGGGAAGAAAGAAGAAGAGGCGGAGAACATGAATAACAAGGAGGAGGAGGAGAAGGAGAAAGAGAAGAGAAGGAGGGGATGAAAGATGAAGAGGATGAGTAGGAGGAGATGAAAAAACAGAAGAAGAAAAGAAAAATAAGGAGAGAGAGAAGAGGAAAATGAGAGGAAGAAGAGGAGGAGGTGAAGAAAAAATACTGGCTCCACAAGAGGAGCAGAGCAGTGAGTACGCTGACGCTTATGGGTCCCATAGAGAACACACTAAAGGGACTCAACTCTCTGTTAATGTAAAAACACAAACAAGCAAACAAATGCAAAACACTGAATGTGAGATGCACCAGCCTGTCGTGACATTTCCTCGGCCTCCTCTGCCAGACCACCAGCTTTGCTCTCACTCCAGTGTTCTGCAGATGGACACGGACAAAAGCCTAAATACGCCTGAACTACATTTGCACACCAATTAGTGGCCGATCGCCCTGCCGCTCCGCAAAACACCGGTCTCCCGGAGCTGTTGTTTTCCTAAAACACGGTTTTGATTCACAAACTCACTCAGGAATTCTGAGCTGTTTGCCTGTGACAGTGAAACTCCTGTAAACAACCATCAGAGGAGGAGAGACAGCCCGTCGCTCAGGAAGACTTCAAAACCGCCGTCCCCCGTCTAAATTAAGCGCCGGAGCAGAGACGTCTCTGGAGCGGGTCGCATCAGGCAGGTACAAAGGGATCAAACAGAGGCACAGCTGTCTCAATGTGACTCCTGAGTGACGGGACGGCTTGTGTCGTATGTTAATTGAGAACCAGTTGATATGTGACACAATAACCAGCATGCTCTGTGTTTGATTTCACAATCAAAAAGGGGAAATGTGTGAGTATTGGAGTAGCCTGCTTCTCAATGGCAATGGGTTCAGAGTATATGTATTTTGATCAATCCTATCCAGGGAGGACGGAAACATTGATTGACAAAAGGTTAATTATTAACCATTTTAATAATTGTTGAGTAATTTGTCAAGAAAAATAAATGAATGACTTTACTCATTTTTAACACAATTAAAACATGCTTGACATAAAATAAAAACCATACATTTTCAAAAGCTGTCGGATAAATACAACGAGTGATCCGTCTATCTGAGCGCACACTGTAATTCAGAACCCGTACACCGCCTGCCCTTCAGCAGACGAGCACAATAACTCACAAACTCCAGGAGGAGTCACAATATTGTTTCTCACAGCTACAGGAATGCAACAAATCCTTATAGACCGTATAGTGCAACAAATCCTCCGCACAAAGACACCGTGAAAAGCCCAGAATTACAACCGACTCACTCTGTAATATGAGCGAAGGCTTCGACAAAGTCAAGTGGATTTACTTCTGTAATCAAAGGTGGTCATAACGTGCAGCGTATGGGCAGAGGAACATGGCCGCTCCTTCCTCGTGGGATGAACGCTGTGAAATCCCAGAGCTGCAGGGTTTGGTCATGCAGATCTTTGCTGGGACTCTGCTGGGACAGCCAATTAATCTGCAATGATGGGGATCAGATGCTTTGGGATCTTTCAGCATCTTTAAATCTTTTCCAAGTGGATTGCCGCAGGCTGCTGTTGCAGCTTTTTCTAATCGGAGCAGCTGGAAGGTGTGAAAGCAGTTCCACAAATGTGGAGGCCCAGAGTGGTCACCGTGGCTGTAAATGTTTCTGGCTGCATATTTTGAGACCACTAACTAAATCCACCCATCTGTGCTCTCGTGATCGTGATTTAATTATACATTATGTGGCGCTCATGCCAGTTGATTAGATACACATGTACGATCTCACTCGATCCAATTCAACAGCCCCGCTTGTCTGTCTGCTGTCTAACATCTGTGGAAAACATTGGGGGAAAGGGGATGGGGAATAGTTTTTGGTTGGACTTCAACCTCTATGATTATCCTGCTGTTTATTACAGTCAAATTACTGTATCATGCCACCAACCACACAGAACTAGGTCTGATGGAAACCTAGCTGTGTAACAGGTCCGCTGAAGTCAAGAGGCCGAAGGTTAAACTGTCGGGACAAACGTGTGTATTGTACAGAAACGCCCGCCGAGTTAACCGCCAGATCATCTGCAGGAGGAAGATCAGGTCAACTGTTACAACCCAGCTGTTACCATAGCAACAGGAGATAAAGCGTTGGCGTGGTAACCAAGTCATCTCCATAGAGGGTTGACCTAAAATGGACCAACAGACCACAGAAGGACGGAGATTACATATACTGTAAAATCAGATCGCAAGATTATAAGCGTTTTAGAGCTAAATATAGCGAGAAATGTCTGCAAGTCTGTCTGTCTGTCTTTTCCATCTTGGCTCGTGTATTGCCGGCGACTCGAGGATGTGCAGTTGTAAATGTGTTACCATTCGGCCAGAGGACGACACTGTGAGAATGAGCTTTACGTTTTGAACTGCAAGTCCTAAAAACAATTTTAAAAATATATATTTTCATATAAGCCACGCCCATTTGCAACTAAATTCATAATTTTAAACGTGCATATTGCTTTATTTCTATTGTAAATCACCATATTTGCTAAATATCCAGGGTACTTTTGTTCTTTGGCTCCCAAAATAATCGAATTCCCCACAGTGATCACAACACATCCATTCTATGTCAAATCATCTTGGAAACAATCTGAAAATGAAGCTCTTGTCTCATTATAGAACACAACACTTCTTTGCCTCACTGCGTTTTCTAAACTTGGTTTGTGCAGTAGGTCAGGCACACAAAAAAGGAGCTTAGAGCTCATAAATCTTCCTCCCAGAGGAGTGCAGCTAATCACAGTCGCCTCCTCATGAGAAAAAGCCCTTCCGCAAATTGCATCATTTGCTTTAATGCTTGCAAGACCCAGCAATCCCCTGCCACAGCGCTCCAACAGTGTTTGGTAAGCTTTAACTTCCTCAGCAACAGACTATCCTCTCTCTCTCTCTCTCCTCTCCTTCAAACCAGCCATCAGAGCGATCCTCTTAGAGCAGGGTTAAAGAAAAGGCTACGACCTCAGGGGGGAGGACATAGCATCTCCTCAAGCCCAGACTCAACGTCTGCTCTAAACTACAGAATTATTTTTCCAGCGCACACTGAAAAGTTGTTACAGATGCAAGATATACGAGCATAAAGAAACTGTATGTTGGTGTTGGTGAACCGGGAGTGTTAGCTCATTGTGTAACTGTCGTCCTCACTCTAAACTTAGCCTGCTGACACACACTTTAATTAACTTGTCCATGTTCTGTCAGCTAGTCAGTGTATCAAGTCAAATGTGGTACACACACACACACACACACACACTGAACGAAACAACCGTGTCTCCTAAAAATGACGTACAACTAAACTGCATTCTCAATTATGTTATCAGGGAAACTCATTTCATGTTTCAACTCATTTCAACTCATTTCAACTCATTTAATGTTAAAATAAGTGACCTGATGGAACATGAACAACGGTGTCCAGGGTGAAAGTCCTGTGTCTGACCCCTCCATCCTCCCACCACACAATATGAGAAGAAACTTATTCTTGATACTTAAAAAACGAATGTAATCCGGTAGAATGTACGTCTCCCTTGAAATGTAATCGATAAAGCAGTCTCATTGTATGGAAAAGTACTTTTTAGGAGATCAGACAGGCAGCAAAAAAAGACAATAAAAAGTAACTTGCTGATGAATACCAACAGCTGTTTACAAGTTTTAGATCATAGGACAAAGAGAGACAATAGCTGAGTTTCGAGCTAAGCATTTCTATATTAACTAGTTTGACTGTTTGGGGAAATATTCTCACTCTCTAATTAG